GTAAGATTTTCGCGGACAATCTGATCGATTTCTCTTACATTGTGTGCTGAAACTGAAACTTTTCACCTCAAGCAAATCTTCGTCTCACGGTCCAAATAAACATAGCGAGCAACTGTGCTACTAGTATATGTCCGTGTTAAAACACACGAAAGGACTCTAAAGCACGCTTCACTCTGATTGGGCAGAAAAACACAAAGATTTTCTGGCACCAATCAGATGGCAGAACGACTGCGACCGTTTGGAACTAGACTTGTAAGACAATGTCCCCAGGGGCTCTTCATGCCCTAACTTGAAATCGACTCAGCCCCTGGGTCTCCGAGGATGGGAATATACCGAAAATGCTCAAATACGATGGAGTTGATCAGCCTACAAGAGGAAAGAATATATGAAATAAAACACATTATGATGGGCGATTTATTCAATGACAATTGAGAATAAGTAATTGACTACCAAATTGTTTCTAGAACCAAGAATTAGAAAACAGAATAAATTGGTAAACCGTAACTCTAAGTAAATAAATGTTCATGTTCCAACTTTTCCTCTTTGAAATTATCAGCGTGGCCGTGCTATGCATATCATGTAGGAACTAATTCGACCTGCCCCAAAAAATATAATTACTCCTGATAATTTTTTAGTTAATAAAAGTATTCTGTTTTTAACCAAATAGTACCTGGTTCTTCTCTGTTCTTATCAGTAAAATTAACTACCTGTACTGTTCTTTATCAGTATGAAATTTTATAAACCTGCAGGGTATAGGTATAAGCTGGTCTACATCTTTGGGGCAAAGTGATTAATCACAGAATGGTAGCCTACTAGAAAGCTTTTCCTCTCAACTGCAGAGGTCTTTTCCATGACTTTTGTCTGGCCTGGTTAAGTTAGGAACGTAGACAATTTATCATACTCCTTCAGCAATATTGAGCTATTGATATTCATGAATTGAAGCTAATATTGCTACATTAAAGCAATTTTTGAAAGGAAAGGTAAGACTATTCCAGCAAAACAAATTTGTTTGTGTATAAGTCTTACAGGGCGGATTATGAGTCTTAGAGAATAAATAAATAGATAACAAAATAATTCAAACAAATTTAACTCACGGAAAGTTCAATCGTTGCACGTTCTCGAGGTCTAGAAAACGTGAGGTGAGAACGAACGGAACGATCACGATCTAACAACCCTCGCCCTTTGGCAACTTCTTGGGTTTCCATTTTCTAGGAATGGCACCCCGGCCAATCCGTTTTCATACCTAATCTACGTCGATACTCCTTTCGGGTGGAGGTTTGAGCGATGTAGGCGTACGAATGCCATCCATTAGCTTTCGTAACTATTTCGTTTGGCCTGTGTAGCGTTATTTCAGCATTTGTAATAATAAAAGAATAATTGCTCAATCCTGCACAACACAACTCTAGGGTGCCATTTCCGGCCTCAAAACGACGATTAGACTCTCTTAGAACAATTCAAATACAACAATCTCTGTCGATTTCTTGGTTACGAGCTTGCGCGAAAGTTTAGGGGATAATATGACATCACAGACTTACGCGCGGCCATTTCGTAGTTTGAGTAATGGCTGACGTTAAATCGAGGAAAAGAAGTCTAAAAGAAATAGATTTCCACTTCGAATTCTTATAAAGATTTTTATAGTAAGGATTGTAAAAAGTGAAAAATCTGGCAAACGCTAAATTTGGTCTCAGTAGGTAGCACTTTAAGTTGGCGATCATTTCTCATGAGCCTAATGAATGATTCAGCAGTATTACCGAGAGGAGAAAAAATGAATTAGATGCTGGTCATTTCGTTAGCAGGCTTGGCACATTTTTGCTGGAATAACCGGTAAGATATAGCTAAGAAATACTGTAACCAGTTTCTCAAAAATCTAACTGAATAGGGATATTGTTAGCAACTGTGTTTAGATACAGCCGGATACACGGTTCAGATGAAAATAAAAACTGGAAACTGGCCTCGTAGACACGAAGTGCGATTGCCCTGAGGACGTTTTGGTCCACTGAAAGTAACTCTCACCCATCCTGCCCCCAAAGAAGTTCGCCCGTCCCAAATCATACTGGCTAGAGGGACGCCCGAGGAGCACTAGTGACGAGTTTCCGAGTCGGGCGAATATCAGAAACAACCTCGTTTCCAGGGTCTCTCATCTTCCCGCTCCCTGCTCATTCAACAGGAGTTTTGTTTTCGAGATTTCCTAGAAACAACGGCCGGCAATCTTTAAGAGATGGAGCTCAATGTTACCATCCTGGATAAAATGGAAATATCTATTTATAAGTATTTTAAAAATTAACGTAATTCTGCTTTAATGTGAGCCAAGAAAATTTCATCATTTGCTCTTTCTTGGCTTCAGGTCGTTCCTCTGTGCATGATTACAATGGTAAAAAATTGTTGTTTTACAAGAGCCAGCTTTATCAAGCTACATCACTCTTTTTAGCGCCCGAAATTGAGAGGAAGGTAACCAATCTTTTCTCCTTTTCCATTTCTTCCTCCATGTTCCCTTTCACTGTCAAAATTCACCATTACGCAAACAGGAAAATTACAGTAAAATCCGACATTTTGAAGATAAGAAGTTTGAAAGCCATGAAAAGCTGCAAACAGCTTAGAAACAGTGTTTTGGTAAACAATGAATACTCTTCGCTAGAAGCGTCCAGACTGAATAAAAAAAAAGAAAAATGCTCCCACTCAAACGCTCACTACTAGGTTCTCCGATCAGCAGTTAAATAAATCCTGAATTTCTTTTTTTTCTTCTCACTCAGGTGTGAACGCAGACAAGGGTGTTGTGGACGCATATCAACACATGGCCCCCATGGTCGACGCAGTCACCTACATGCAATGGCTTTACAAACAGTGTCATGATGATGGCTGTCGCTTTGTACATGATGAGATTCATGGATTGCTGAGGGATCAGGCAGAAGACTTGAAAAAGAAATACAAAACTCAGTTAATCTTTAACTGCTTTGGAAACAATGCAAAAGAACTGGCAGGAGATGAAGATGTTTACCCTCTGAGAGGTAAGTACGACTCGTGAAGCGTTGTGATATGTTTAACAGAGTTCAGTCTCTTACATACATTTACCTGATTGCAAAAGAAATGTGTTGAATCCGAACTTTACACCTTAAAATCTCTCTCGTTGTAGGGGTGATTCTTAAAGTAAAAAACGACGGAAATTTGATGTCTAAACTCAACCACCCCATGTGCGTCTCTGTAATCAAGGAGTTTGATGAGTCAGGTAAGTAAAGACAAAGCTCTCGGTTCTCATTTTACCGAGAGGCGACGGCAAACTGTGGCTGGGTGGAATGGTTCAACCTCATCAGTGGGAGAGAGATCTGACGCTCGACTATCCAGCAATCAGAAGAATGTTTGAGAAAGTAAAGCAGTTCTACCCACCCCTCCGTAACTATGGTGACGATGATGTAGAACAAGTGTTGGTATGCCTGCGTCCTGCTCGCAAAGCCAATGCTCGTTTTGAGTGGGATCCTGCGTGTCCTTCTCTTTTGGACGACTATGGGAATGGGGGCTCGAGTGTGACTTTCTCGTGGGGCTGTGCTATAGAAACGAGCGCTATGGTGAATCGTGTTCTTAAAAGAGGCCACAGATTCTGTATTCAAAACTTTAATCCTTCGAATATTCTCCCTTTTAAAGCTTGAAAAATCTTCCTTTAAAACAACAAATGATTTATTAGAAAAAATTTCAACCATTATATTTATTATTTAGCTGTGTATGCAAGTTAAGACTGGCAACAACTTAAATTTTATGGTTGAAATAGCAAACAACCATACAATATACAATAATTTGTTGATATTCGATAATAATAATAATTGTCATATCATCAAGATCCTTGAGGATCTTTTTATCATGTGAGCGTGTTCTGTGCCTCATTAGTTTATTCCGAGAACTGATCGATTTTTTTCCGAGGGTTCTATCAAACTAACATCCTCTAGCTGAGTCAATCTCATGATCTGTTTCTGGAGGATGGATTAAAACGGGAAGGAGTGGCCCTGAGTTTAAGCGACCTCTAGCGCTAAGATTAAAAGGTGAATCGCTTTCATCAGGCCTTATATACGGGTGTCAAATGTAAACCAGGTATTATTTCAAATATAATGACTTTTATTAAATATTTGCTTCCAACTCCATGATAAAAAATAAATTACAAATTTCTTTGAAATTAGTACACTTTATACTTTCTGTTATAAATAAAATATACAATTTACAAGTGAACTTCTCGATTCGATCAAAACGCCCGGATCACACAGCTGATTCATGACTCATATCCTACTAGCTCTTTAAACTGAACTCAAAAAGTTTTTAACTCAAAATATGATAACAAATGTTCAAAGCTTTGAGAGATAAATCTGTGGTCTTTTAAAAACACGATCCACCATAGCACTCGCTTCAATAGCACAGCCCCACGAGA